AATAAAAACAGTATACTTATATCTTGGGAGTTCAGGCTTTTTGCACTTGGATGCCACGCTTCAGTAACAATAATTCAAGTAGCTTTCAGATATGTATTTTAGAACACTATAATTTATCTGGCTTTCTAACTAGGTTGAATTCCATTATTGCTCACAGCAATGACTACTCAACACATAATAAGCTTTTCTTGTGAACTGCTGAAATGAAACATAAGAGACCTGTACAATATGCTCTTCCTGTTGGTTATAAGTACATCCATCAAATAAGTACGGGTGGTTTAGACAACTACCGTAAAGTTTTGATTAGATTGGAGGAGCCTCTCTGGTGGGTTTGATAAATTAATTGATATCTCAGCAAATAGACAAGGTAAGAAGTTCAAATTTTATATGCTGGCCCAGCATTATCTGTAGTTTGTGATTGGTTGGATAAATTAAAACCCATATAAGGGAAGAAAGGAAATATAGATGAGAATTCAGAATGTAAGACACACACACAGATAAATACAGAATATCAATTACAAACCATGTTTTGATGCTGAGTTTATTAACGTACATTGATTTTAAAGTTGTTTTAACTTCAGTTGGGTCAAAGTTCGAACGTCACAACTTTTTAAGTTACATTCAAAATTTAATTAAACAACTTTATTATCAATATATGTCAATAAAATTGGCATCACAATATAGCTTGTAATTCAAATGTTAATATTATATATGTTTTAATTTTTTTAAATTCCCATATATGCTTTCTTCTGTGTCATATCGCATGTCTTATTGGTCGGTTTATATTTTATCTTCACACCTATAAGCTGGAATATAAAATAACCTCCCCACGAGGGTAGCCCCACCCACTACTCCATTCTTTTGGAAGTTCTTGTTTAAAAACCAAACGAAATAGCCCATTCCAAACTATGTAAATCTGATTAGGATGTTGAAGTCTATTTAGTAAGTTGTTGCTCTGAATAGAAACGAGATTTTATTAACCCACACATAGCTTAGTCAGATAAAATACAATGGTTTTTATGTGTACTAGTATCGTAATGGGATAATGTTTTGGTTTTCTAAAACGAATCTTTACCCTTGACTTGAGAGAATAAATGAGGCTTAGCAAGTACAAGTCAATTTTATAACATTGTAAGTATTAGAAATCGTTGTTTTTCTATATATGTATTTATTGTGTTATGTTTTAAGAAAAATAACTAAAAATTAAGCATTTATGAGTACATACCTTGTACATCTATACCACTAACTACCAACTTTATTGGATCAGCCTGGACTTTGTATAGACCCACATCATCAGTATTTATCTGCACTTTTATTACCTTGTACATCTATACCACTAAATACCAACTTTATTGGATCAGTATTTATCTGCACTTTTATTACCTTGTACATCTATACCACCAACTACCAACTTTATTGGATCAGCATGGACTTTGTACAGACCCACATCATCAGTATTTATCTGCACTTTTATTACCTTGTAACCACTGTACTGTAAACAAGCCGATAAATCCTCTCCCACTGTTCTCAGAGCCGGGATTACGTTAAAATCCGTGGGTAACTATCGTATAACAGTATCACTGAAAGATGCTTTATGATTGGCATGTTGCTAACAGTAAAATAAACGACGTGAAACTTTCAGGTGAAGTACTTTGGAACTACATGGCCAGTATTAATCAACTTTTAAAGTTTTTATAGTGGTGAAGAGTCAAATTAACTGTATAGAGTTAGGGTATAGAAAATAACAGATAGTTTTTCTGTAAAAAATCGTTTGTAGTTTATTTAGGTGGTTTTAGAGATTTATACAAAAATTTTTCAAATGAAGAAAAGTATTTTTTATTTTAGAATGAAAATCACTTTGCACTCAGAACACTCAGAATTAACACTCTAACTACATATTCACAGAAACAAGTTTTTAGTTAAATTTTTTTTCTTTCTATAAAGACTTGTAATGTATACTTGAAACAATGTGTGTGTGAAGTTACTATAACTTTGGGGTCACATGGCCGGTGTAATTCACCGAGTAGAGAGTACTAGATGAAATTAAATAAGTACGTAATTGGTTGTGTGTGGATTTCTTCACACAAAACTTGCTTCAAACTAGTGAACATGTTCGTATGTATTTAGTTAAAGAAACTATACGTTACTTAACGACATTTTGTTTTCACTAGGTAATTTAGTACAGTCTTTGCTGGGAGGTACCGAAGATGATGATATGAGTGGAGATGAATTAGCATTACCTGGACCATCTCATTCACCAAAGCACAGCATACAGTCTGAAGATTTGGATTGAGTAACATTACTAGATTAACCCTTTTGAGACGGGTCACAGGCCATGTCATCTCATTTGTTGAAAGAGTTAACCAAGCCACTTGGATAAATTAGCGATTCTTTTTCCAGTTACTCTTGGAAGAGGATCTGATCAATGAACAGTCAAGTTTAAATCTTTTGTGAAACTGGTATAATAAGTATAGGAATGAATTATATCAAAGTATACTTCAAGTGGAGAACCTGTTCACTGAAAGACCTCCAAGTTAAAACACATTAAAATGTAAATACATGTGTATCTGAACTTAAGATTTAAAAGTTTCAACATTTAACCAGTATAAAATTACTTGTTCGAGAGACCTTACATTTTCAATAGTTTGGTCTTGTTTTAAAGTAACTTAATTATGTAGACTGTTGTCCACAATTCAGTTTTATAAACAGAAAAAAATAAAGTTATATTTAAGATTTGACTTTTTTTCAAATCCTGAATATGTATGTTTTTGAAGTAATTTTGTTGCCCAAGAGCAAATTGTTGGATTATAAAGTATTAGTTCTACGTGAAAAGTCATGACTTTTCCTTAATCAACACACAAAAAAAACTTGAATAATTTTATTATCACCACTAGGGCTATTTTGTAGAATATTCTATCTTAACTAAGACTATTTAAATTTCAAATCTAAGAATATTTTACAGGCAAACAATCAGCTTCTATTTTTGTTAACTAGGATGTGATGCCCATTAAATTATTTATTTTCTGACAGGCAGTCAAGAAACACGTTTTTAATAAGTAGTATTGTTTTTTTTTAGAGGGGTAATTTATTCAAGAATATTGTTATGATCTTCAGGTATTAAATTAAGCTTAGAAACAATTTTTCTTCATTCTTTAAATAATGTCATAAAATATTACTTGCACAGTTGAGGGGGAGAGCAAGATAGAGAGCATTTAATAAAAAGTTAGATACTTGACGGTAGTGAGCTTCTTTGGAGGTATTACACTTAAATACTAGAGCATTTAATAAAAAGTTAGATACTT